GAAGGCCTGGCGTGCTGCAGTTCATGGGGTCACAAAGAGTCGGACATGACTGAGCGGCTGAACTGAATTGAACTCAACCATTTATAGTAGCACTAAGAAAATATAATCAGTGTGCTAAAAGAGAAAAGCAGGACATATCAAGAAATATAAGATGTTCATAGATGAGATGACTCATTATTGTCAAGATGTTTATTATCCCCATTATATAGATATCGAAAAGCTGAACCTGTGTTTGGAAAGGCAAAGGAATTGAAATAGCTAAAACAATCTTGGAAAAGGCCAGAAAACAAGGACTTGCTCTATGTGATTTCCAAGTTATAGTAAGTTAAGAAACTGTGATATTAGTGAATGATAGACACAGATACCAATGGAACAGAATAGGACTTCCAGATAAACACAATATGGCCAGTTGATCTCTGGCATGTTGACATTGAATGTAGAATAAAAGATAAACAGTTTAATGGATAAAGATTAGTCTTCAAGAAATCCTGCTGAGACAATTGAACATCATTTTCAAAAAAGATAATTTCTAATACCTCACACTTTGTACAAAAATTAACACAAAATTGATGAAAGACCTAAAGGTAAAACATAAAACTGTGAAATTGAACAGGAAACCAAAATTTTTGTGACCTTGTGTTAGGTGCATAATTCTTAGCTATGACATCTCATCAAAATTTGCTTTGTGAAAGACAGTAGGGAATTTAAATAAATAGGCTAGAGTGGAGACAAGTTTTAAACTGGTGAATTGAGTAGGGTGTTATTATGAATGTAGTACTACTCAAATTGGAACTTAGAATTCAGGTTTTAGAAATGGAAAAAGTGAAAGTGGGTTTTAATTCCATGGAGGAAAGTCTTTCACATGCTTTGTTATCAGATTTGCTATTTTAAAATGCTTGTGAACTCGGTGATTCTGGCATTGTAAACTTTCCTTTACTAGTTGTATGAGAACATCATAAAACCTTGACATGTAAGTATGTCACTATGCATGAATACTGATGTGACCTTAAGGTTTTGTATTCACACAGGAAAAAAGTCCTGTGTTTTAATTTTTTTTTAATTGTAGCAAGTTCTTATATATTTGGTCACTTTTTCCCTTCAATAATATTTTAAAGTATGATGAGTGCCTTGTGAAAATATTTCATCCACATACATAATGGTGTTTATTTCTACCCTTTTTTGGTGTGCCCTTCAGGAATGCTTCTAGTCACAACAGATACCCTTGGCCATGACTTTCACGTCTTCCAAATTTTGACTCATCCTTGGTCCTCATCACAAAGTGCTGTCCATCATTTATATACTCTTCACAGGGGAGAAACTGAAGCCAAAGTAAGTAGTATATTTTTTCAGAAGGTGTTTTCTTTGTGTAATATGATACCTAATCCAGAGGTTATTTGTATCATATTGGAGCTTAACGTTAGTGTTGGTGAGTTCATTGTTTTTTAGACTGGGTCAGATAATTAAGAACTTTATACTATTTTGACCCAGTTTATATAAGTAGTAGGTGAACAATGAACGTTGATAAATCAGAAGTTCCAATTTATTCTTCTCTTCCTGTGCTAAAACCATTTTTTTTGTTTGTTTTCTTAAAGTCCAGTCTATTAGGCATATATCCTGCAATCATGCTGAAGTAGTTATGGATGAAATAATATGATATTTCTGTTTGCTTTTGAATGTTCTGGAAGAACAAAACAAAGACATATGTTGAAAACAATATGCAAAGTGTTAATAATTGTCAAAACTGGGTGATGTTGATCTTGGTGGTTCATAATACACAACCACAATACTCTCTTAGTTCTAGAGACTAAGTCTCTAGACTTAATGTGTATTAAGAAATCCCGCTAATAGAAATTAAAAATAAAGCAGTACCTTTCACCAACATTATGCTGTTTTACTAATTTTTACTGTTTTATAGCAGACTTATTGTTCATTTTTTAAAACATTTTCAGCTCTTCTTGAATATTTTCTCAGTGAAATGCATTTTAGTTATGGGGTAATATAAAGAATATTGAGTTATATAAAATTATTTTGAAGTTATATAAAGAAATATTTTGAGGTTTTTAATTTGAATTGCATTGAAATTACATTTTAATACAGTTAGAATTTACATTGTTAATTATAGAATTTTTGCATCTAGGAATTATTACATTTTAAAATTATTATTGCTGAGGTATAATAGGCTATAGATTGTTTTGTATTAGATTTGTGTCTTCCTGCTTTGCTGAACTCTATTTTGAGGTCTAATACTTTTTCAGAAAAGTTTTTCTTGGATTTTATATATAGAACATGAAAGTGAAAGTGAAAGTCGATCAGTCGTGTCTGATTCTTTGCGACTCCATGGACTGTCCATGGAATTCTCCAGGCCAGAATACTGGAGTGGGTAGCCTTTCCCTTCTCCAGGGTATCTTCCCAACCCAGGGGTCAAACCCAGGTCTCCTGCATGGCAGGCAGATTCTTTACCAGCTGAGCCACAAGGCAAGCCCAAGAATACTGAAGTGGGTAGCCTATCCCTTCTCTAGGAAATCTTCCCGACCCAGGAATCGAACCAGGGTCTCCTGCATTGCAGGCGGATTCTTTACCAACTGAGCTATCAGGGAAGCCCTTTTATATAACATACTTTCTGACAATTATTAAGCTAATTTTTTACAGTTTTCAGTTTTATTTTTCTTATTGCATTAGCTTGGAACTCTAAAACAATGTGTAACTAAAAGTAATAATTGTGCTGTTTTCTTTGTTAATGGTACCTCCTATTTTTTAACTTTCTACCATGCTGTTTTGATTACTTTAGCTTTGTAATATAGTTTGACATCAGGAAGCATGATGCTGATACTTCCAACTTTGTACTTCTTGGTCATGATCGCTTTTATTATTTGGGGTCTTTTGTGGTTCCTACAAATTTTAGGATTGTTTTCTAGTTCTGTGAAAATGCCGTTTGAATTTTGATTGAGATTGCATTGAATCTGCAGATTGCTTTCTATAGTGTGGACATTTTAACAGTATTAGTTCTTTTAATCCATGAGTATGGAATGTTTTTTCGTTTATTTGTGTCTTCTTCAGTTTCTTTCATCAATATCTTATGGTTTTCAATGCACAGGGTTTTGCACCTCCTTGGCTAAATTTTTCTATGTATTTTATTCTTTTTGATGCAATTGTAAATGCTTTCAGCTTTTATGAAAGAGCTTTCAGCTCCTCACCGTTGAGTATAATGTTAGGTGTGGGCTTGTCATATAAGACCTTTATTATGTTGAAATATATTCCCTCTGTACCCACTTTAATGAGTTTTTATCATGAATGGGTGTTGACTTTTGTCAAATGCTTTTTCTGCATCTGTTGGGATGGTTGTATGATTTTTATTTTTCATTTTGTTGATGTGGTGTGGATCTCAGCACCTAGATGCAGACTCATTGGGAGCTGGGCCGTCAGACCGCAGCTTTTAAAGTATGCAAATATACTTCTTTCAGGGGAAGACTGGGAGAAGGACATTTTTAGTCTGCTGTCTCTGCTGTGGCCTGAGTGGATAGTGGGCTAGGAGAAGTCACTTAAAATAAATATCCCATTCCTCATCAAACTTTTTATTACCTCTTTTACTTACATTATATAATTTGGTTGAATAGATTCTTTGTTAAATGGGTTATATTCATTCAAAAATTATTTTAATACTCAAAACAGTCCGGATTTGGCCAGTTGGAGCCTATTAGTTTGACATCTATTAGCTTGACATCTTTGACATCTGTTAGCTTATAATACGTACATTATTCTTTGACAGTGTCCTTACTTTCTGGCACAGTGAAGTTGCTTTCTCCTGTTTAATAACCATTTGCTGTTATTGCTTTCATATGGAAGTTTTCAATTAGATGAGCATTTTAGGTAAAGATTTACTATTTTCACTATAAAATGTGCTGCCAGGCACATGTTATTTCTTTAAAAAGTTTTTTTTCGTTGATGTACAACATTATATAAGTTGCAGGTGGACAGCATAGTGATTCACAATTTTTGAAGGTTATATTCCATTTATAGTTAGCAAAAAGTACTAGCTAAATTCCCTGTGTTGTACAATACAGGGCACATTTTATTTCTTTTAATTTTTTAACCAGAAATTTTATTTATTTATCTTTGTCTGGGTCTTCATTGCTGCGTGGGCTTTTCTCTAGTAGTGGCAAGCGGGGCTACTCTCTAGTTGTGGTGTGTGCGCTTCTCATTGCAGTGGCTTCTCTTGTGGAGCACGGACGCTATGGCACACAGCCTTTAGTAGTTGGAGCACGTGGGCTGAGTAATTGCAGCTCCCAGGCTCGATAGTTGTGGTGCACGGGCTTAGTTGTTCCATGGCTTGTGAGATTTTCCACATCAGAGATCCAAACTGGGTCTCCTGCATTGGCCGGCTGATTCTTTACCACTGAACCACCAGGGAAGCCCCACATTTTATTTCTTTTCTCTCTTTTAATCCCTGTCCTGCCCTCCCTACTTCCTGATATGCTCTACCTCAACTGTAATCTCCAGTAATTTGAATATTTTAAGCACCCACACCTTTTAAAAAATTTACATCCATTTTTGATACTTCTTTTGCATTAGCATTATTTGTCATTCAATTTACCTTTATTTCTAACACGGAAACAGAGGTCTTGCTTAAGCTTCTTGGGGTCTCTTATCCATAAAACAGTGCCCTGCACATGGACAAATGTTTGTAGATGCTAATATTTGCTAATGCCAATGCTATTCCTATTTAACAGGTAGGAAAATAAAATAGACATTATTAAAATTGTGTTGTTCTTTGTCACACCCTATACTTTAGGAGATTGGAAATTTTTAAACCTTAAACATCAAAATCTAAGGAAACACAATTGATAACCATAAAATTAATTTTTATAAGTGTATACTGAAAATGATTTTGAAATGATATGTAAAATTTAACACTGATAATGAAATTTGTATGGCAAGTAATCTGTCTTTGAGTATTTTAAAATCATGTCATTCTGGACTCTTCCAAGAACTCTGAGGATACTTTAATCATGCAAGGAAAAAAGGATCAAATATGTGGATCTAATTATGTTGAATTAAGTTGTTTTATGATCTATGACTTGGGATATCCTCTGCATCTGACAGTAATTTTCCTCCTAAAGTACATGTGTAGTTAGCAAAATATTCTTAGTTTTCATCAGTAAAGTCATATGTAGTAAAATGTTACAGTATTTAAAAATATACTTCTGTTAAGTCTTACCGAAGCTGACACTGGTAGTTTTTGTACTTAACATGCTAATTTTGATAAATGGTACACTTTCTTTGGAAACCTCTGCATATTAGAAACCTGTTACTTCTACTTTATCAGAGCAATCCTGCAAAATGGTATGATTAATATGTTTAATTCTCAAGGAGAAAAGTACCTGTGTGTAAATGCTCAGTTGTGTCTGACTCTTTGCAATCCCATGGACTGTAGCCTGCCAGGCTCCTCTGTCCATGGGATTTCCCAGGCAAGAATACTGGAGTGGGTTGCCATTTTCTTCTCTAGGGGATCTTCCCTACTCAGGGATTGAACCCACATCTCTTGTGCCTCCTGGATTGGCAGGTAGATTCTCTGCAGTAGTCAGTTCAGGAAAAAACAGCCTATGGTACAGGAAAGGGGAACCCAAGTGGAGTCTAGACTCCCTTTTTTGATGAGATATTGGTGAGTCTAGGAAGACCAAGATCATGGAGTTCTCAGGACTGAGTATCAGAGAGATGAAAGGTACAAAGAAAGAACCCTTGAGATCTGCTGAGAAATCTGCAACCATGGGAAGAACCACCATCATACCAGTAGGAGGAAGTAAAATTACATTAAAGATGACATTCAGAAAATCTAATGGATGCCACAAAAAAGTTAGAACTAATGGCTGATTTTAACCAGACTTCTGGGTACCATATACTAGAAACAAACAATTGTCAATTTTTAAAAAATTGTTAAGTTTAAAAACAGTGAGCACATCACATGTAGGACTGTATTCTAAAACTGTAAAACATCACTGAGAGTAAAGATCTGATTAGATAGAGTTAAGCCATATTCTTGGGCTAGAGTACATAATATTGTTAGAATATAATTTCTCTCCAAACTGATTTGTATATTCAGTGCCATCTCCATTAAAATCCCAGCAGTATTAAACATTTTTGATAGAAATTAATTAATAAGCTTCTCAAATTTATATACAACTGCATAGGACTTATACTCGGCAAAATAATATTGAAAAAGAAAAAGTTGGAGCATTACCTGGTAATTAGACTTATTAAAGCTATAGTAACAGACACATTGCCATCAGTTCAGTTCAGTTCAGTTCAGTCACTCAGTCGTGTCTGACTCTTTG